CATTTTTATCCCCATGTCAGATTTGCTCTAAATGCTGTAGTTTTTGAGATATAAGCCAAAAACTGCCTTTTACCGCTATGTTCTATTTTTAGCCATGGCGGCCATGTTTTTTGACGAATCAGAAAATAAAACACAAACTTTATTCTAGATATGCTAAAGGATCATTCAGCTTAAGTTTGGTTGGAATTGGTTTAGTAGTTTCAGAGGAGAAGATGTTTGAAATAGTTTACACCGGACGGACGACGACGACGAACGTCAAGTGATGGCAAAAGCTCACATTTCCTTTGGAAAGGTGAGCTAAAAATGCACTGTTTTGCAAACAGTTAATTTATAATCATGACCATATCCGTGAAAATTCATGTCAACGCAGAAGTGCTGACTACTGAGCACTACTCCACCAGCAGTGGCACCGACCCAGTGGTTGTAAAACAACTCCTCATAGATACCGGACTTAAACTGTGTACGCCAGACTCGCATTTTGGCTACAAAAACGCAATAGTGACGTTCGAATCAAAAAAGTTAAAAGGCCAAATAAAGTATTACGTTGAAGAGCATTGAGGACCCAAACTTCCGATAGGTATTGCCAAATACAACATGCAACCTGTCAATTTTTTACAAGAAAAGTACATATTTGGATAAGGTTTTCTACTTCGGACTGGCACAAATAACTTGTTCAGGGTCTAGAATATAATAGTGTTCACTTCTTTCGTCAATGCACGATGATGTTGAAGCAACCAAGAAAAACAAATCCTAATTTTATAAGAGAAATATTTGAAATTGATCAACTTTTCATTGATCAGCTTACCTACTATGTAATTATCTATTTATGTATTTATTGTTTGGGCAGTGGCGGATCCAGGGGGGGGGGGGAGGGGGGTGTTGGGTTCCGGGTGTTGGACCCCCCCCCCTTTTTTTGACGATCAATGCATTTGATTGGGGACATATGGTTGGAACCTCCCTTTTATCCTGGATTGGGACCCCCCCCCCCCCCCCCTTTTAAAAATGGCTGGATCCGCCCTTATCATTGGGGCTAGCTTAATATCTATATATAAAGTACTTTATTTCTTTGAATGATAAACACGAAATTACAAACAAAATTTAAAAAAAAGATAGATGGTTTTTAACAGGGTGGCAGTATAACTACATTTTGAAATATCAAAGTTTAGCTCCCTAAATTCCCTTTAAAAGCATGGTCCCGCGTGTTATTTTCTGCAAACATTTTTGCATTTTTTCTTATTGTGTTTCTTCAACCTAATATTGACTACATACATTTTTTGTTAACGTAGAACAGCCTAAAAGATATATGTTTGCAGATGGCGGTATTTTGGGCAACTGTATTGGTTGTTATGATTGGTTATTAGTCAGAAATGTGATTGCAGTAAATTGATGATGTAAAAAACGTCCTTAGCACTAAATTGCACCGTACGAATATTTGACGACCGGGCAAACAAGAACTCACAGATGATAATTATGCTTTCGAATGGTAACGTCACAGTACCCAAATTGCACCGAGTACCCAAATTGCACCTATTCAACAAAAATAGCTGTGGAAATCTTACAAGTTTTCTTTGAGATTAAACAATTGGTGTTTTTATGATTTGACATCATACACGTCTTTCAACATAGCTGAATATATTTAAATATACACAAATGTTCACAGTAAATATCAACAGATGAAGCATTTACTGGAAAAAGTAAATCTACGGAAACGTCGTCATGCGACGTTCTCAAAAAGTCATCTTTTAAAAATTAGCAAATAAAATATGTTACAAGTATCCATTTCTTAAAAAATGAATAGTAAGCATAGACTAATGTCAAATTGTTTTAAATATTTGAAGAAATTGAACAAAACATCTGTTATTCAATTTTTGAGGATGTGAATTTAAGCAGGGATGCAATTTGGGTACTCCTCATTACGGAATCCTGGATCGTTTGGAGGTCTGTTCAAACCCATTTTTCTATGATTCAATATGGATTCAAAATTTAATTGGTTTAACTATATAGTAAACAAGGATACATCTACAAAATAAACACAGAATGGAAACTTTGGTCTCCGGGATCATAAAAAAACGTAGGTGAAAAAACTGTCAAAATAGGTGCAATTTGGGTATCCTCACGTTATATGAGGTGGGTGCAATAAAAATGAAATTTTATGGTTAATGTCACTCGACTATACATATCTCAATATGGCGTTCTTCCGTTTTATATTGTCAAAACAGTTTACGACACACAAGTTGAACTCCAATTTATCATCATATATAATAAATATGAAAAACTGTTGAATTATCTAATGAAAGACATTCATTTGTTACGCAAGTTTATCGCTATTTATCATGATACTCGCTTGAGATAGACAATTTTCACTAGAAACTGGTTAAGGGCGCACGTGCCGTTGTCAATGTAAACATTATAACGACGTCATGGGCAAAATAGCGAACAACAGATTATCAATGGTCTTTCAAACTCCAGGATGTTTCTCGGCCACATCACTTTTTTGTGTATTTTTCCTTTGATCATTTTTGTGATAATTTTTCATATCATGCTACTCTCTTGAGATAGACAATTAAATTATCACTAGAAACGAATTAAGGGCGCACGTGCCGTTGTCAATTTAAACATTAACGTCATAGGCAATATATATAGCGATCAACAGATTATCAATGGTCTTTCAAAACTCCAGGATGTTTCTCGGCCACATCTCATCTCAGGGATGTCGCCCTTCGATGAAAATGTAGCTGAGAAACACCCTCTCGTTTGTAAAACCCATCGATAATCTATTAATATATGATTCAGAAAACCTTACCAAGTCGGAGGGTGAAAAATATATCGTGTTATTGTACTAAAGGGAAAATCTATTTTTCTAAAAGGGATCACTAAAATCGCCACTTAATTTCAAAGAAAAGAATTTAGTATTCATATATATGCGAAATAAGTTAAACTTTTAATCAGACCATGTTAATATTTCAAGTTTTATGTGTAGATATCAGTTATTGATTGACATAATGTATCAGATCTGTGAAATAAAAGATTGTTCAGATCAATCAGTTTGCAAAAATAATCATTCAGCCTTAACTCAATGGTTTTGATTAAAAAAAAAACCTCTGTAAACATAGGACGTATTTAATAATTTTTCTTTAATCTTGGTAACGTGTATCGTTTACTAGTATATGAAATTAACATACATTCAAATCTTAACCGTTTTTTTTAGTATTAAAGATTATCTAGTCCCTTACCAAATCTTGTTAACTTAATTTGTCATAGTTTTTTGTTATTTTTTTCAGATTGCTTTAAACAACACTTTTACATATCAAAATGCATATCTACTGCTTTGATATATTTTTACGGGCATATATTTTTTTCGCCAAATATTTGAAAACATGATTCAGTCTTGGAATGGTTCGAAATGTCGACCAGTACCGCATGCATTTGATTTCTAAGCCTTTGCTATTACACTGTCAGCTTTGCAACTAATTTTTACATTTGTTTATTATTATCCTGCAACCTTTATATCTTTATAAACTCAAATGTTTAGCTAATATGAATTGCTGCGTTTGCTATCTAGGGCTTATTTTTACTTTCATAAAAAAACGTTGTATGTATTTTATGTGCACGATGCTTTGTTTTATCTGTTTGGTTACGTTTTTTAAATCAGGTAGAAAGCTCACCAGAACTTATGTATATAAAAATTATGTTTAATACTATGCAGAATCAAAATAAAGTTGCCTGTGTCTATATCTATAGGAAGGTAAAAAGCAATTCCTTGAGGAAGAGATTACTATAAACAACTGTCATCATGACAAGTGGGAGGTTTAGCTAGCTATAACACCAGGTTTAACCCACCATTTTCTTCGAAAAATGCGTGTACCAAGTCATGAATATGACAGTTGTTTTCACTCGTTCCGTTGGTTGATAACGTTTGATATTATATATAAACTTTTGATTTTATCGCTTTTAGAGGATTTCTCCTTTTTAAGTTTACCTTGGAGTTCGGTATTTTTGTTATACTTTTTGCATACTTTTTGATTCTGAGACCATCTATGTAAATTTTCGAAAATTTTATAGGCAGCGTATCTGATAGTTTGGAGACCAAAACGCGTCTGGTTTGCTAAATTAAAAGCCTGAGATCTTTGATCAGGTAATTTTTAGAGGCATGTATGTATGCTACGTATAAGCCTCCTGTCATTAGGAGCACCACCATGAGTAATGGTGTAAAGAAGGACATTTTGCACACTGTATCGGCACATATTTAATGTGAGCATTTGCTTATCCAGTTCCCCAGCCTGGCCGTGACGAGACTTACTTCCAGAAAGTTAACTTTCCAAAAACAGGAATAAATACAAAGAAATAAAACATACGAACACACCTACTCACATGATTCGATTATCCTCAATATATAAAAAGTGGCGCGAAAATAAAAGTGAAAAATATATACAAAATAAGAGAAAAGGTCACCCCGGATGCCGCACAAATGCCATGGCAACGAACGGAAAATCGGTAAGGACATACTTGGATTCCAAACCAATACCGCTAAATGCCCTGCTGTATTCCTGGTAGAGGAAAGCCGAAAATCCTACGATAAAGGATCTCGGAAAGAATCCATTAGAGGAACAGCTAAAACCCTCAGACATCAAATAGGTACTGATAGTTTCCCCACATGGACACTACCTATAGATCCCATCTGACCACATGTCAGTCTCAAACAAACTGAAAATATTTTAGGCTGCAGAAACTTTCCTCAAGGATTTGTATAGTACTATACAAATCCTTGCTTTCCTCAAAAACAAAAATATAATCGGCAAAACATAAAATATACAATGCAAGGATAATAATATTTTTTATCCATGAAACTAATTTGACAAAACAATTTCAATGATGCTGAAGGATTCTCTGCAAAAATGTTCATGTCCGCTCTCATCGGCATGGTCGACTCGAGAGGTTCAAAGTCGGATTTTGCAAATAGGCGGACTCAGAGTCTAAATTTAGTTTAACCGGAAGTTCAAAACATCAACATTGCCGCCATTTTCGATTCAGTTCTGAACAAAAACAGAAAGACCAATGAAAAAAGATAAATGTTGAAAGACAAGATAAAACAAAATGCCAAGAGAAATCATAACACTACAGTTAGGACAATGTGGAAATCAAAGTAATTATATTTCGTGTATACAGTAATTAAGATAGGTGGGCGAGATATTTATGAAACCTATCACATGTATCATGTCATTTGAACAATTATAATTTTTTTGCCTGTTTATGTATAATAATCATAATTATATTGTATTGTCTGTATTTGTTACTTGATTGATATGCTTGTAATGTGCCCTATGATTAGGACAATAAAAATATTCTTTTCTATCATGTTGCAAGCTATAATTTAGAAAGTGAACCCATTTTTCTTCAAAATTAGTGAAATAATTGTCTTCCTTAACAGAGTAATTAGGAAGAACGACTGAAATGGACTTGTATAATAGCGATCCTTCTAAACATTTACATTGAACTGTCAGAACAATCTCAAGACAGCAGCTCATGTAGCTAGCATCCCTAAAATGATAGCAGCAACCTTACGGCACATCTCTAGAACCCAGCCCAGAGTTTAAAACTAGAAATGGGTACTTTGGGGACCTAGATTGGTCAAAGTGGCCCCAGACATTGAACTCGAGATCAATCTGCAGATATCTCTTTGGTTTCTTTGTTCCCGTCTAGGAGCCAGGTGGTTCTCTCTGAGTACTTCGGCTTCCTCCACCATAATAACAGACATCCCAGTGTCCTAACACTCCCTTTGTTTGTGTTGTGTTGTGGAATGTCCTTAGTTTATATAATTCAATGTGTATAAGTTGGTGAAACATCTCCATTCATCCTAATAGGGATTCCACTGTACCCTCGCAGCTGTCGAGGGGTGTTCCCAATAACGGAGGAAGGAATCTTCATACATTTGTACATACATCTGTACATATAGAAGCAAAATGGGTCGGTCTTTTCACCATGATACACTTCCAAATACCACAGAACACCCCCAAAAGACCACTAACTCCCAAGGAAAACAGTAGTTTTACACAATAAATCGATAAATTATATTCAATTAGTTTAATTACTTATTATGCCCATGTCGCAGCAGAGGGGTCATAAAGTGTTACCCTTGTCCATAACTATGTACAATGTATGTATGTCCTGAAATTGGTTTCCCTTCTCTTAGTTTAGTTTACCTCAACCAAATGTTATGACACACACAAAGCCATAAAACTCAGATCAAGTTCAAATTTGGGTGGCGTCACTTTTACCCTTCTTGAGTGGACACATTCTCCATTTATTTAATCCTATTACAGTCCACTGCACTTAATCACATACCAGTTAATTGCATAATTTTCTCCTGCACAAAACCATTTCCTATTCATTTAATGTTAAAAACTCTGGTTATCTGCATAGCCTAACAAGTGGTCTTTAACTTAGTGTTTTATCTAGAACTTAAAAAGGGCATGGTAATTTTTTTTACCAAAAGGGTACTTTGCACGTCGACTTTACCAAATAGAGCACATAAATAAACTAGTAAGTTACACATATTCAGTTTTTCTTGTTAAACATGTTAAAAAAGATATATAAATTTAACAAAGTTAAGCTGGTACATAATATAATGATTTAAGTATTATCAGAAGTCCATTATCTAGTAATGGACTTCTGGTATTATAGTCCCAGAGTTGAGCAACTTTAATAAATAAATTGAAACTGATATAGTACATGGAAATATACATTAATCAAGTTGATCTAACCAAAAGTATGTTAATGCGTGTGGAATGCATACTTTTTCTTTTTGGGATCAATATTCTTCTGTCAGCCGTGTCATTCATGCGTCCGTAGTCATTATTGTAAGAATCCGGATTTTGTTCATAGCTGGTCTGTTTGCAGACTTCGATCCCTACTTTGTACAAATATTTCAATGGCGGACGAAGAAAATTTAGAAAAATAAACCATGTTTGGCACGCAATTTGAAAAGGAATATGACGTTTTTAATGCAATAAATGGATAACAAATTTACTTCAGGCAATTTTCTTCACATACTAATGAAGTAACAAACTTATTTTGCCGAAACTAAGAATGATTTGATGTATGCTCTCGAGTCTCGCGGAAGTGATAAATATTATCTTCATGAAATAACATGCAACCAACTTTTTAAAGTCAATGCTTGTCACCCTTCAATCAGCAAAAAACCCGATCTCGATCCAGATAACGCTAAAGGGCACATGGCGTAAAATCTTTCGGAAGAAAAAGGGCATGGTGTCCGAAAAAAGGGCATGGCGCAAGAAAAAAAGGGCATGGCGTCGCGCCATGCTAAATTGCTTTAGATAAAAACTATAACTGCCCTTGAATTTTTACTAGATAATATTTTTGTTCGCTATGGAGAATCTGTATATCGTCAAGTTATCGGAATTCCAATGGGGACTAACTGTGCACCACTAATTGCTGACCTGTTTCTGTGGACCTGTTTCTGTATTGTTATGAGTTACAATTTATGACTAAAATCAGCAAAGACCGAACGAAACAACATCTGATACATAAATTTAATTACACTTTTAGATAATTGGATGATACATGTATATTGGCTCTCAATAATGACGACTTCAGAATGTACACTAAAGAGATTTGTCCTGCTGAACTGACTTTAAATAAAGCTAATACTAACAATGAACACTGCCCTTTCCTGGATCTTGATATCTATATCTTTAACAGGAAGCTTAATACAAAAATTTATGATAAAAGTGATGATTTTTCATTTCCTATTGTTAATTATCCATTTTTAGCTAGCCTGGCCAAAAGGGCCAAGTGAGCTTTTCTCATCACTTGGCGTCCGTTGTCGTCGTCCGTCGTTAGCTTTTTACAAAAATCTTCTCCTCTGAAACCACTGGGCCAAATTTAACCAAACTTGGCCACAATCATCATTAGGGTATCTAGTTTAAAAATTGTGTCTGATGACCCCGCCAACCAAGCAAGATGGCCGCCATGGCTCAAAATAGAACATAGGGGTAAAATGTAGATTTTGGCTTATATCTCTGAAACCAAAGCATTTAGAGTAAATCTGACAAAGTGTAAAACTGATTATCAGGTCAGGATCTATCTGCCCTGAAATTTTCAGACAAATCTGACAACCCGTTGTTGGGTTGCTGCCCCTGAATTGGTAATCTTATGGAAATTTTGCAGTTTTTTGTTATTATCTTGAATATTATTATAGATAGAGATAAACTGTAAACAGCAATAATGTTCAGCAAAGTAAGATCTACAAATAAGTTGTCATGACCAAAATTGTCAGTCGACCCCTTTAGGAGTTATTGCCCTTAATAGTCAATTTTTAACAATTTTTCGTAAACTTTTGTAATCTTTTACAAAATCTTCTTCTCTGAAACTACTGAGACAAATAAATTTAACCATACTAGGCCATAATCATTATTAGGGTTTCTAGTTTAAAAAATTTGTCTGATGACCCCGCCTTCCAACCATCATGGCCGACAAAAAATAGAACATAGGGGTAAAATGCAGTTTTTGGTTTATACACACATGTATCTCTGAAACTAAAGCATTTAGAGCAAATCTGACAGTTGGCAAAAATGTTTATCAGATTGAGATTTATGTGCCCTGAAATTTTCAGATGAATCCGACAACCCGTTGTTGGGTTGCTGCCCCTGAGTTAGTAATTTTACAAAAATTTTGCAGTTTTTTGTTATTATCTTAGATATCATTATAATATCTAATACTATTAATTATGATTTTAACCTTATTTTACAAGATTTCCAAAGCATCAGTAAAAACAGGTGAGCGACACAGGCTCTTGAGAGCCTCTAGTTAGATTCCCTTGTCACCATCTTATGGTGTTTCTCAACTTGTTCGATTCGCTCGTGTATGTAACAACGTTTTTGATTTTAACGAAAGAAATCTCTGTATTACCTAAAAATTATTACACCAGGGTTTTCAATATCACAAACGTGTCAAAACATTTACTAACTATTATCGTCGGTACAAGGACATCATTCGTAAATATTAATCAACATGCAGACATCTTATACGCTCAGGTATTTCACATCCAATCTTTTATGGTAATATTCTATACAAAGCACAAAAGCTAACCAAACCTTTAAACAGACTTATTCAGAAAGGATATAGTTATGATACTGTTGTCAAGTCATTAAAGATGGCATATTTTGGTATTAATATTGATTCACTCGTAGGGTCTTTGCATCGAAAATAAACACATTTATTGTAAAACCAGTTGTTGGCATAATACGAGTTATGTTGTTCTCATATATTTTATGATGGTATGATACTAAACCCCTAACGGGAGGGGTTTCACTTGATTTTCATATGATGACATAATCTTTCAATCAGTTTGATTGAGGTCTGGAGCTGGCATGCCATTAACTGCTAGTAGTCCTTTGTTAATTTATGTATCATTGTCATTTTGCTTAGATGTTTAGTTTCTTTTGTTACCTATTCTGACATCGGACTTCTTTTAAACTGAGTTTATTGTGCGTATTGCTGTGTGTTTGTTTATTCTACATTGGCTAGAGGTAAAGGGGGAGGGTTGAGATCTCACAAAACATGTTTAACCCTGCCCAATTTTATATGACCGCAAAAATTAAAAAATTTTTGGTCGTATATTAGTATCACGTTGTCTTCGTTGTCTGGCGTCGTCCGAAGACAGATGGTTTCCAGATAATAACTTTCGTATAAGTAAATAGAAATCAATAAAATTATAACACAAGGTTTATAACCACTAAAGGAAGGTTGGGATTAATTTTGGGGGTTATGGTCCCAACTGTTTAGGAATAAGGGGCCAAAAAGGGGCCCAAATAAGCATTTTTGTAGTTTCCAGACAATAAATTGTATTAAAGTGTATGAATCTCTATGAAATTATACCACAAGTTTCCATACTTAAAAGGGATGGTTAGAATTGACCTTTGGGGGGTTATGCCTCAAACCAATTAGTAATTAGGGGCAAAAAAAGGGGAAAAACAAGGGTTTTTCTGGTTAAAGGACAATTGAGACAATTTAAAAGCAGTGTAAGGGAGGTAATCCAAATCAATTAAAAGAACACTGTTTGATAACCTCCCTTACACTGCTTGTAAATTATGTATTAAAAAATGATGATTGTCTTGAGGTGAT